AAAAGAAAAAAAACGACAACGACGGGAAGCGACCGGCGAGGTGGACTCCCGCGGCGACGAAGCTAGCGCTCCCGAACGAAAAACACAAAAGAAAGACGCGCGGGCGCCGGGATCGAGCCGGCGACCGCGGCTCCCACACAGCGACAGAGCCAGCGCGCACCACGAAGCGGTGCGCGGCGATGCTCCGGAGCGCATTGCGCGGGCCCAGGTGTGGTGCGGTGCGATGCGGTGTGATGCGGCACGGTGCGGTGCGGTGCGAAAAAACGAAAAAAAGCGACGACGACGGGACGCGAACCGGCGACCGCGGCTCCCACACGGCGACGGAGCTAGCGAAAACGACGCAGCTCCGAAACCGCGCACGACACTGCGAAAAAGGGCGACTCTCCAGAAATTCCGAACAGACACGCGGACGCCCCCCGCAGCCTAAGGTCTCCGTCCCGACGACGGAACGACTAAACGTCGTCCGTCTAACGTCGGGACTACGACGACGGACGCTAAGCTGGGGTAAGGTCTCCGTCCCGACGACTAGACGCGGGCTGCTTCGCCCGCGAGGGGGCCGTAGTCCCCCGGCTGGGCGGCACGAGTACGACGGTCCGTGCGTATACTACTACACCCGTGTGGGAGTCGAACCCAGAAGTGCAAGGGATGCACCCAGCCGCGCAGGCGTGTCGTCGGACGGCTAGAGAGCCGTGCAACGCTGGCATTTAACGCCATCCAGTGGCGAGGCAGACGAACTGTTGGACGTGTCAGGTAGTGTTGGCTGCGGAGGTCCAACGTTCCTCTAGGTTTCTGGCGTGTTTGTACTCGGTCGTATAGCGTTCACGGGTTTCGGTTGCACGGCGATCGAGGAGGCGGAGTTCGGCCGCCAGGTCGGGGTCCAGCTTGGTTGCTGCCATGAACTGTTTGACGACTCGTGTTCGTTCGTCGGGTGTGGTAGAGAGCGGGCGGAGGAGGCGGATGTGGTCGAGTGTCTTGTAGCGGGTGAGCAACACGTACGTGGTTGCACGCTTGAGGCCACTGGGCGGGACGGAAAGGTCCGCGACCCAGCATTCTTCCTTGAAGCTACGGCCCTGTACGAAGTAGTCGGTGACGGCGTAGTAGTCACCAAGTGGTACATTGACTCGACGTACATTTTTGGTGGTGGTGCCGGTGTTGGCGGCTGGCACGGTGATGTTTGCTGCCGGTGAGGGCCGTGGTACGATGGCGAAGGCAGCACCTTTGGTTGCGAAGTCCGCTAAGTCTGCTAGTATCGCTTTGGGCGCGTGCCCTTTAATGGGACGGACCAAGACAGCTGCAGGTAGGTAGTGGAGGCGCCAGTACGGGCCGCGGCCGTCATCGGGCGGTTCACGGCTGTCGGTAAGCAGGCCACACGCCTCGACTTCATTGTTGTGGCACGCGCCGGCGTCGGCAGCAGTGGTGTCGAGTAGGGTGTAGCGTGCACCCTCGTAGTACCAAGTGTCGGCGGTGGTGTGGTCGAAGGTGGCGTCTTTTACTCGCATTGCGACAGCCTTTTCGACGTGGGAGAGTGGCTGTTGTTGGGTTGCACCATGTTGCCTAACCGGGACGTGGTCCGCGTTCCAGCTGACCAAACGCGCTCCTTTGCGGCGCGCCTGGAGCATCAGGAGGCGTGTGTTGAGCGCGTGCCTGGGTTCGTTCCGTTGCAGCACGACACGGGGTTCGAGGTCTGTGAGATCGGACAAATCCGTGATGACGCGTTGGTTGAGTGCGTCTACTAGATCTGCAACACGTGCTTCAGTGGGTTGAATGCCGCCGAACATGGTTGTGAAGCGGGTAAGCTGCTGGCCAGATGGGCTGTTGTCTTGCCGCTGCTGTTTCTGCAGCATGAATACGGTGCCGCCGAGCCGGGTTTTGACGGGCAGCAGCTTGTGCAGTGATGTTCTGTTGCTGCTCCGCAGCCCTGTAGTCCGGGTCTTGATGGGCAGCAGCTCGTGCAGCCGTGTCCCGGTGTTGTTCTGCAGCCCTGCGCCCCGGATCCAGATGAGCATCCCGCATCCGGGCTGCATCTACGCTGAGGTGCGTGTTCGACGCTCTTGTCCCTCTAAAACGAAACCCGCCGCCCAGTGTACCCAGGCGCTCATGACTGCGTGTCCCAGTCCGCTGGGGTGAATCATTCCGTCGGTCCACCATAACTGACGGAAGCTGTTTCCGGTCGCAATACCGCGTGTGGAGATAAGTAATCCGGGTGCGATATATATGCAATACAATCCTACAGTAGCGAACCGACTCCTGCAAAGAGCCCAGCTTCGCAAAAGGCCGTCAACTTACGTTGGCGGTGCCACTGACTAGTTTACGGCCGCCGACTTTCGTGTGATTCAGTTCTGAGCCGTAGTACCGTACATGAAGAGAAATAAAGTAAAAGTGTATGTCTGCGATGCAATCCTAATGTAGCGAGCTGACGGCCGTGGACAAGTTCATTTCACAAAAGGCCGTACAGTTTACACGGACAACGTTGGACAACCGCAGATGCACACTTCGGCGCACTCCTCGTCCATCGCTGAATTGTGCGTTGAACCGCGCATCGATTTGTGCATTTAATTGTGCGGTTCGGTGCGCGTTTAATTGCGCGTTGAATTGTGCATCGAATTGCGCATCGAATTGCGCGTTCAATTGCATGCTTCGGTGCGCATTGAATTGCGCGTTGAATTGCACGTTTAATTGCATGTCGAGTCGTGTGGTGGGTTGCCCGTTAAAACGCGCGAGTCGACGCATGTCAAATTGCGCAGTGCGGTGCAGTGCGGTGCGGTGCGCTGCATAACGAAAAGAAAAAAAAAGCGACGACGACGGGAAGCGACCGGCGAGCTGGACTCCCGCGGCGACGAAGCTAGCGCTCCCGAACGAAAAAAACAAAAGATAGACGCGCGGGCGCCGGGATCGAGCCGGCGACTACGGCTCCCACACAGCGATATAGCGCGCACCACGAAGCGGTGCACGGCGATGTTCCGGAGCGCATTGCGCGGCCTCAGGTTTGGTGCGGTGCGATGCGGTGTGGTGCGGCGCGGTGCGGTGCGGTGCGAAAAAACGAAAAAAAGCGGCGACGGCGGGGCGCGAACCGGCGACCGCGGCTCCCACGCGGCGACGGAGCTAGCCTAAAAGGCGCGGCTCCGAAACCGCGGACAAAAAGGCGAAATACGGCAACTTACCAAGCGGCCACCCGGACAGACAGACAGACGAGGCGCGGTCCCTGCGGTCCCGAGGGTGCCGTAGCTCTCGTTCGGGTCCGGTCTGCATATGCTTGCACATCGCATATGCTTGCAAATCGCATATGCTTGCACATCGCATAATATGCTTGCAAATCGCATATGCTTGCAGATCGCATATGCTTGCAGAGCGCATATGCTTGCACATCGCATAATATGCTTGCAGATCGCATCTGATTGCAGATCGCATATGCTTGCAGATCGCATATGCTTGCAGATCGCATACGCTTGCAGAGCGCATATGCTTGCACATCGCATATGCTTGCAGATCGCATACGCTTGCACATTCCATATGCTTGCAGAGCGCATACACTTGCAGATGGCATATGCTTGCAGATCGCATATGCTTGCACATCGCATATGCTTGCACATCCCAAGTGCTTGCAGATCGCATATGCTTGCAGATCGCATATGCTTGCAGATCGCATTTGCTTGCAGATCGCATCTGTTTGCATACTGCATTGCTTGCATACCGCATATGCTTGCAGATCGCATATGCTTGCGGATCACATATGCTTGCAGAGCACATATGCTTGCACATCGCATATGCTTGCAGATCGCATATGCCTGCAGAGCGCATATGCTTGCACATCGCATATGCTTGCACATCGCATATGCTTGCAGATCGCATACGCTTGCACATCCCATATCCTTGCAGAGCGCATATGCTTGCAGCCAGCATACGCTTGCACATCGCATCTGCTTGCAGACCACATATGCTTGCAGATCACATATGCTTGCAGAGCGCATATGCTTGCACATCGCATATGCTTGCACATCGCATACGCTTGCAGATCCCATATGCTTGCAGAGCGCATACGCTTGCACATTGCATATGCTTGCAGATTGCATATGCTTGCATACTGCATATGCTTGCAGATCTCATAATGGCATATGCTTGCAGATCGCATAATGGCATATGCTTGCAGATCGCATAATGGCATATGCTTGCAGATCGCATAATGGCATATGCTTGCAGATCGCATAATGGCATATGCTTGCAGATCGCATAATGGCATATGCTTGCAGATGGCATGATGGCATATGCTTGCAGATCGCATAATGGCATATGCTTGTAGATCGCATATGCTTGCAGATCGCACATGCTTGCAGATCGCAGATGGCATATGCTTGCAGATCGCATATGCTTGCAGATCGCATATGCTTGCAGATCACAGATGGCATATGCTTGCAGATCGCATATGCTTGCAGATCGCATATGCTTGCAGATCGTATATGCTTACAGATCGCATATGCTTGCAGATCGCATATGCTTGCAGATCGCATATGCTTGCAGAGTCGCATATGGCATATGCTCGCAGATCGCATATGGTATGTGCTTGCATATCGCATATGGCATATGCTTGCAGATCGCATAATGGCATATGCTTGCAGATCGCATATGCTTGCAGATCGCATATGGCATATGCTTGCAGATCGTATAATGGCATATGCTTGCAGATCGCATAATGGCATATGCTTGCAGATCGCATAATGGCATATGCTTGCAGATGGCATGATGGCATATGCTTGCAGATCGCATAATGGCATATGCTTGTAGATCGCATATGCTTGCAGATCGCACATGCTTGCAGATCGCAGATGGCATATGCTTGCAGATCGCATATGCTTGCAGATCGCATATGCTTGCAGATCACAGATGGCATATGCTTGCAGATCGCATATGCTTGCAGATCGCATATGCTTGCAGATCGTATATGCTTACAGATCGCATATGCTTGCAGATCGCATATGCTTGCAGATCGCATATGCTTGCATATCGCATATGCTTGCAGATCGCATATGGCATATGCTCGCAGATCGCATATGGTATGTGCTTGCAGATCGCATATGGCATATGCTTGCAGATCGCATAATGGCATATGCTTGCAGATCGCATATGCTTGCAGATCGCATATGGCATATGCTTGCAGATGGTATAATGGCATATGCTTGCAGATCGCATAATGGCATATGCTTGCAGATCGCATAATGGCATATGCTTGCAGATCGCATAATGGCATATGCTTGCAGATGCATGATGGCATATGCTTGCAGATCGCATATGCATATGCTTGCAGATCGCAGATGGCATATGCTTGCAGATCGCATAATGCATATGCTTGCAGATCGTATATGCTTGCAGATCGCATATGCTTACAGATCGCATATGCTTGCAGATCGCATATGCTTGCAGATCGCATATGCTTGCAGGTCGCATATGGCATATGCTCGCAGATCGCATATGGTATGTGCTTGGATCGCATATGGCATATGCTTGCAGATCGCATAATGGCATATGCTTGCAGATCGCATATGCTTGCAGATCGCATATGGCATATGCTTGCAGATCGTATAATGGCATATGCTTGCAGATCGCATATGATGGCATATGCTTGCAGATCGCATAATGGCATATGCTTGCAGATCGCATAATGGCATATGCTTGCAGATCGCATAATGGCATATGCTTGTAGATCGCATATGCTTGCAGATCGCATATGCTTGCAGATCGCATATGCTTGCGGATCACATATGCTTGCAGAGCACATATGCTTGCACATCGCATATGCTTGCAGATCGCATATGCCTGCAGAGTGCATATGCTTGCACATCGCATATGCTTGCACATCGCATATGCTTGCAGATCGCATACGCTTGCACATCCCATATCCTTGCAGAGCGCATATGCTTGCAGCCAGCATACGCTTGCACATTGCATCTGCTTGCAGACCACATATGCTTGCAGATCACATATGCTTGCAGAGCGCATATGCTTGCACATCGCATATGCTTGCACATCGCATACGCTTGCAGATCCCATATGCTTGCAGAGCGCATACGCTTGCACATTGCATATGCTTGCAGATTGCATATGCTTGCATACTGCATATGCTTGCAGATCTCATAATGGCATATGCTTGCAGATCGCATAATGGCATATGCTTGCAGATCGCATAATGGCATATGCTTGCAGATCGCATGATGGCATATGCTTGCAGATCGCATAATGGGATATGCTTGCAGATCGCATAATGGCATATGCTTGCAGATGGCATGATGGCATATGCTTGCAGATCGCATAATGGCATATGCTTGTAGATCGCATATGCTTGCAGATCGCACATGCTTGCAGATCGCAGATGGCATATGCTTGCAGATCGCATATGCTTGCAGATCGCATATGCTTGCAGATCACAGATGGCATATGCTTGCAGATCGCATATGCTTGCAGATCGCATATGCTTGCAGATCGTATATGCTTACAGATCGCATATGCTTGCAGATCGCATATGCTTGCAGATCGCATATGCTTGCAGGTCGCATATGGCATATGCTCGCAGATCGCATATGGTATGTGCTTGCAGATCGCATATGGCATATGCTTGCAGATCGCATAATGGCATATGCTTGCAGATCGCATATGCTTGCAGATCGCATATGGCATATGCTTGCAGATCGTATAATGGCATATGCTTGCAGATCGCATAATGGCATATGCTTGCAGATGGCATGATGGCATATGCTTGCAGATCGCATAATGGCATATGCTTGCAGATCGCATAATGGCATATGCTTGCAGATCGCATAATGGCATATGCTTGTAGATCGCATATGCTTGCAGATCGCATATGCTTGCAGATCGCATATGCTTGCAGATCGCATATGCTTGCAGATCGCATACGCTTGCAGATCGCATATGCTTGCAGATCACATATGCTTGCAGATCACATATGCTTGCAGATCGCATATGCTTGCACATCGCATATGCTTGCAGATCGCATATGCTTGCGGATCACATATGCTTGCACATCCCATATACTTGCAGATCGCATATGCTTGTGAATCACATATGCTTGCAGAGCACATATGCTTGCACATCGCATACGCTTGCACATCGCATATGCTTGCAGATCACATACGCTTGCACATCGCATATGCTTGCAGATCGCATATGCTTGCAGATCACATATGCTTGCAGATCACATACGCTTGCACATCCCATATGCTTGCAGAGCGCATATGCTTGCACATTGCATATGCTTGCACACCGCATACGCTTGCAGATCACATATGCTTGCAGAGCGTATACGCTTGCACATTGCATATGCTTGCAGATCGCATATGCTTGCAGATCGCATATGCTTGCAGATAGCATATGGCATATTCTTGCAGATCGCATATGGCATATGCTTGCAGATCGCATATGGCATATGCTTGCAGATCGCATATGGCATATGCTTGCAGGTTGCATATGCTTGCAGATCGCATATGCTTGCAGATCGCATATACTTGCAGATCGCATATGCTTGCATATGAGATCGCATATGCTTGCAGGTCTCATAAGCTTGCATATGAGATCGCATATATATAACATTAAAACATACTGCACCTTGCATATTGCATATTGCATATTGCATATTGCATATCGCATACCGCATATCGCATATCACAGCATATCACAGCATATCACATATCGCTGCATATCGCACATCGCTGCATATCACATATCGCTGCATATTGCATATCGCTGCATACATATCACATACATATCGCATATCACTGCATACATATCGCAGATCGCTGCATACATATGGCAGGCGGCAGGCAGAGGTTAAGGCCTGACTTCTGCTCCCAGTCGACCCAGTCGACCCGGGTTCAAATCCGCCTGCCGGCTCCTCGGGTGTTTGAGGAGTGATGAAATGGGAGGTGGCCCCCCATCTTATGGACGGTGTAGGACGTGATAATATCAACTTGCGAGCTGACCAGGAACTAAGTTGATGCGCCGTTGATCCGCTAGATTTGGTTGGATGCTGGTGGTGAGTTGCCGAACCCAACGAATACATTCTGAAGTCGGATGGGGTGACGGATTAGGGTGCCCCTCTAGCAGAGGAGAGCAGGGACTGCCCCGGGAAAGGGGGCCGCTGGCGAAGTTGACCACCCTGTAACAACATACATATGGCATATCGCTGCATACACATACATATCGCACATTGCTGCATATCGCATAGCATATCGTTGCATACATATCGCAATCGCATATCACTGCATATCGCATATATCGCTGCATATCGCATATTACATATCGCACATATGCATATATGCATATATGAAACATATGAAACATAAAACATAATTTTGCTCGGGATCGAACCGGCGACCTTCCGTTCTTTTCGGCGCTGTCTTAAGCGCGTACGGCACGCTCCCGACCCGGAATTTCCAAAACGCTCCGGACAACCGGACATCGAACTCGGCATAGGCCTCCGCTCATAACATATGAGCTACGGCGACAGACTAGACGCGGGCTGCTTCGCCCGCGAGGGGGCCGTAGTCCCCCGGCTGGGCGGCACGAGTACGACGGGGTCTTGACGGGCAGCAGCTCGTGCAGCTGCGTCCCGCTGCTGCTCTGCAGCCCTGTACTGCGGATCTTCACGGGCAGCAGCTCGTGCAGCCGCGTCTGCAGCCCTGTACTGTGGGTCTTGACGGGCAGCAACTCGTGCAGCTGCGTCCGCAGCCCTGTACTGTGGGTCTTGACGGGCAGCAGCTCGTGCAGCCGTGTCCCGCTGCTGCTCTGCAGCCCTGTACTGCGGGTCTTGACGGGCAGCAGCTCGTGCAGCTGCGTCCCGCTGCTGCTCCGCAGCCCTGTACTGCGGGTCTTGACGGGCAGCAGCTCGTGCAGCCGTATTCCGCTGCTGCTCTGCAGCCCTGCCCGGATCCAGACGACCATCCCGCAGCCGTGCTGCATCCGCAGGAAGGTGTGTGTTCGACGCAATTGTCCCTCTAAAATGCAGGCCGCCAGCCAGTGTGCCCAGGCGCTCACGACTGCGAGCCCCAGTTTGATGGGGTGAATCATTTGGTCGATCCACCATAACCGACAAGAGCCGCCTTCAGTCGTAATACAATCCTATAGCACCAAACTGACGCCTGTAAACAGCCCAGCTTCGCGAAAAGCCGTGCAGCTTATGGCGACGGCGCCACCGACTAGTTTACAGCCGCCGGCTTTCGTGTAACTCAGTGCTCAGCCGCCGTATGTGAAGAGAACATATGTGAAGAGAAACAAAGCATTTGCGTAGTCTGCGTTGCTGTCATACTGTAGCGAGCAGACGCCTGTGAACAAAACAGCTTCAAAAAAAATCGTACAGCTTACATGGACAACGTTGGACAACCACAGATGCGCACTCCAGAGTGCACCTCGTCCACCACTGGATTGCACGTTGAATTGCACATTGGAGTACGCGTTCAATTGGTCGTTGAACTGCACATTGGATTGCGTGTCGAATTGTGTGGTTAATTGCGTGCTTCGGAGCATGTTGAATTGCGCGGTTCGGTGCGCGTTAAAATCCGCGTTGAATTGCATGTTAAATCGCGCCAGTCGGTGCGTGTTGAATTGCGCGGTGCCGTGCGGCCAATGTTAAGCGAATTGTGCGTTTAATTGCGCACGTTTAATTCCGCATCGAATTGTGCGCGTTCAATTGTGCAACACTGTGCAGTGGGATGCGGCGCGGTACTGCGAGGCGGACAATGTTCATTGTGCCTCGAATTGCGCGTTCCGGGTGCATACTTCGATGCGTGTTGAAGCGCGCATCGTGGGCGGTGCGATGCGGTCATTATATGGCGCTGTGCGGCCATCAACATGCGTCCCCACCTCTGCGTGCTCCTGCGGAAAACACTCGGGTACCAGAATCGAACCGGAGATCTTGACTACCACTCGGCGACGGACCTAGCATTCGGAACAAAGCTCCGAATCATGATAATTGCGTGCTGCGGCCCGACCATGGACGTGCAGCGCTCCAGCCCCCACAACGCGCGCCCCTACGACGCGCGAAAAAAACACGACGAGGGTGATCCCGGCGCCCGCAAACACGCCGCGGTGCGCGTGGCGCATCGATGCTTCGGTGCGCGTTGCACTGCGCCGTGGCAGCACCGAGGTGCTGCGGTGCGGTGTGGTGCAGTGCGGTGTGATGCGGTGCGGTGCGAAGCAGTGCGGTGTTGCATGTTGAATTGCGCGGTTTGCTGCGCGTTGAACCGTGCGGCGATTTGTGCGCACAATGAAGCGGTGCACGCCGATGCTCTGGGTGCGGTGCGGTGTGGTGCACAACCAGGTGCGGTGCGGTGCATGCTCCCGAACAAAAAGACGCAAAAACGTGACGGAGCCGGGATCGAGCCGGCGACCGCGGCTCCCGCTCGGCGACGGAGCTAGCAGGGACGCTGAAGCTCCGAAACCACGAAAGAAACGGCGAAAAAGGGCAACTTTCCAGATGGACACGGACAGACAGACGACGACAGACACTAGACGCGGGCTGGTTCGCCCGTGAGGGGGCCGTAGTCCCCCGGCTGGGCGGCACGAGTACGACGATACATGCATATACTACACTCGTGTGGGAGTCGAACCCACAAGTGCAAGGGATGCACCCAGCCGTGCGGGCGTGTCGTCGGACGGCTAGAGAGCCGTGCAACGCTGGCATTTAACGCCATCCAGTGGCGAGGGTCCTGCATGGAAGCGGCCATGGAAGCGGCGTTGGTGAGGGGTGTGCGCGGGGTAGGACCGGCACTGCAGGCTCTGACTCTTCTGGATTGACTAATGTTGGCGTGTCAGGTGATGGCAGCGGCTCAGCCTGCATGACTCAGTCGCAGGAACGCTATGCGATCGAGTATGAAGTGCCTTTGATGACCGTTGGTAGACAGTCTGTTACCATCACAGTCGTGACCACGAGAATTACATCGCGCATGCACTTAACAGCAGCATGGATATTTGAATAGAGTGACACTGCAATGCACCTACCACTGGACGTAGTTAATTGCTAACGGTGGCAGCAGCCAGAGCGGCGGCCATGATGCGTGTGCGGCAGGGGAGATATTGCTGCCACGTTGTTTGGCCGTGTTGGTGTTCGGTGCATTGGTCATCATGGCGGCAGATCATGGCGGCAGGTTCGTTGGCTGCAGCAGTTTAGGCGCACGGCTTGCTTTTGGTTTGATGCCTTCATAGGCCATGAATGCCGAGGAATACATGACATACGAAGGTATCACACTGATGTGATAACTTCGTACGCCAGTAGTATTTCGGCATTCATGGCCTATGAGGACATCAAACCGAAAGCGAGCCGTGGAGGTAAACTGCTACAGTGGACGATCCTGCCCAGCCGCCGCCGCCGCCATGACGTTGGCAACGATGCTCACAACCAACACACCGAACACCAACACGGCCAAGCAACGTGGCAGCAGTAGGTGGTGTGCAACGCCCAGCTGCTATGACCGGGAGTCTGGCCGCCGCTCCTTCACCTGCAGTCGGAAGCCGCCTCCAACTCGAGGCGGCCTCCACCGCCGCCAGGATGTTGGCAGCGATGGTCACGACCAACACACCGGATACCAACATGTTCAAGCAACGTGGCAGCAATAGCTGGCCTCTGCCGTCGGACTAATCGGGCCTTTGCTGTCCGTGTGCGAATCGGACCTTTCGTCTAGATCAAACAGAGTGTATCCACTAGGCTCACGTGATCACATACGTACCTGCCATACACACCAGAGGCGCTTCAGGCAATATGCATTTAGAACGGACGGACGAGCAGTAAGATCCGGGGTTCCAGATGTGTTAGCGTAGGGGACTGCAGACACACGGCAGCGGCAATCTGGAAGGGATGACAGACAGTCAGACGGTCAGACGGAATAGCGCGGGTGCAATCATACGGGCAACACGGAGTGACATGGGGGCGGGTACTAGTACGGTCACGATAATGTAGGCGAAGGAGGACCGAGAGGGGGCGGAGGTTGGAACCGGGAACATACCTGTCGAGTGCATGGTGAATGGCAGAAGCCGTGGTGCCTGCATGGTCGCACGATCGGCAGCAGCCAGCACCGCCGCATAGGCGACAGGACGGTGTGCTGGCACGACATCCGTCGTGGCGACGTGCTGCTGTGGCGGCTGAAATGTGGCTCCAGTGGGGCTCGTACGTCGCGTCCGTGTGTTACTAGGGCCCTCGTTGTCGACCAAGCAGAGCCTATACCGCATGACCTGCCATGGGTGGACAGCGGTGACAACATGTTAGAAAGGAACGGGGTATATACAATACACAAACGGCCGGAAACGGTAAAGGCAGTGGTACGGGAATTGGTACAAATCGCACCATAGCAGCATACGTGGAGTATCACAACTGCCAACACCGGATACACGACCGCCATGTGGAAATAGAGAGTGGCGGTGAAGAATATACGAAGAGGCCTGAAGGCACGCTAATGTGATCACATATGTACCTGCCATACACACCAGAGCCGCTTCAGGCAATAGGCATTTCGAACGGACGGACGAGCGGTAAGATCAACGGATGGGGCATCATGGGTGCAATCATACGGGCAACACGGAGTGACAGGGGGGCGTGTATTTAGAATTTAGACGTAAGACTGCGCGGGCAGTGCATCGTACCGCACCACATCTGATGCGCTGACACATATGGACGCCGACTCGTCGCACACTTACCGCGCGCGATGGAGACCTTGCAGGAAATGCTCGGCATGGAAATGTTCGGCACCAGCAACCACGACGCACACAAATCTGCAGTGCATTGTAGCGGCGATCCGTCACGGTTGTGCGGAAGCAGGGCCGGATATCGCGACAACTCGCTATGTCCGAAAAGTAAGATAAATAATAAACAGCAAGATGAACACCAGTAATACAGACTAATTATCGCGGCCGTGTACCACTTGCATAGGCACGCAATATATGTACATCTTATAAATAGCAACGCAAAACATGTACAAGGAGAACTGACATAAAATAGTTTGCGCGTGCATAAGAAGAAACGACACCAAAGTTGCCGTACACATCTTAACATGACATGACACAGCGGACATCGTGCACTACGGTGCGAACGCACATAGACGTGGCCTGGCCGCACACATACTGTGCCTACCGAAGATGTCCCAAAAGTAGTCTCAAAAGTAGCATGGACAGTGTCCGGAGTAGCTGCCGTAATGCACGCAAACCTGCAATACAACGCAACGGTGATGCGGCACTGTTTAAACAAAATTTTCCGGAAACACTACCGCAACTCACAACGACGAGTCGCTATGTCGCAGTAAAGGACGTATGTAAATAAAAACGAGAACCGACACAGAACGAATTAATGCAAAATAATGTATGTCGTACACTTGCCGACACGGTGTGGTGCGACGGACAAGCGGTAATGTGCCGATGCACATACATGTGGGTTGCATCATAACGCACACTTACCGCGCCTACTGGAAGCCACCGAAGAGGACAGCACGAAGGCTTGCCGGAGCAGCAGCTTCAACGCATGCGAACCTGCACGACAGTGTGAAGGTCGCGCGGAGACAAGCCCGGAACTCGTTATGTCCAATTCGTTATGTCCAACCATCATGTACACGAGTGGCACGCGCACAGCAAAGCATGCTGCAGGGAGAGCGGGGAAGCTGCGAGAGGCGGATAGGAATGAGACACGTATGAATGTCAACACGGTACAGCATTCGTGCCTCAAAACCCTAACTTATACCAGCGAAACCGGTTATACCGTTCATATACTCACCAGTGTAGGTGCGAGGGATGCCGCCAACTTGTGTGGGAGTCGAACCCACAAGTGCACAGAATGCACCCAGCCCTGCAAGTGTGTCGTTGTGCGGCTAGACAGCCGCTCAACGCTGGCATTTAACGCCATCCAGGGGCGGCTAGATGGAAGTGAAGGGAGGGGACAGGTGCAAGCCATAGCGAACTTGGACGACGTGTAGTGGACGGCAGCGCAAGTGGATGAACACGCAAGAACGAGTCATTCCTGCAGAGCCGTGATAAACGTAGTTCGACCTTCTATCTTGGTGGTGGTAAGGCGGTACTGTTACCGTTGAAAACTGGTGCACGGCACCAGCACCACCACCTGACACAACGACATTCGACCATGGAAGGAATGCCGTGGAATGCCAGTGTTGGAGCTAGCATGCACAATGAAGCGGTGCGCGGCGATGCTCCGGAGCGTGTTGTGCGACCCCAGCTGCGGTGTGGTGCAGTACAGTGGTGTGCCCGCTCCCGTACGAACAAATAGGAAAAAACGTGCAGGCGCCGGGATCGAGCCGGCGACCGCGGCTCCCACGCGGTGATGGAGCTAGCGCGCGCAACGAAGCGGTCCACGCCGATACTCCAGGGCTCGTTGCGCGACCCCAGGTGCGGTGCGGTGCGGTACGGTGCGGTGCGCGCTCCCGAATGAAAAAAAAGGCAAAAACGCAGGGGCGCCGGGATCGAGCCGGCGACTGCGGCTCCAACACGGTGGCAGAGTCAGCACGGTGATATAGCACGACGAAGCATGACGAGGCGAGACATGACGCGCGCGGTGCGGTGGGCGGCCTCAATCGAAATAAAAAAAACGCGGTACACGACCCAGCGAACGCGACCGACCGCGCAAACCGTCCCGCGGGTCAGGTTGTGTTGCGCATCACACTTCGGTGCGCGTTGTGTTTCTATTCCTTGCTATTCTTGCTATCGTTTTTACTCACTGCTATTCGTCGTTTCTATTCATTGCTACTGCTTTGCAATGTGGACTGACCTTATATCGTGTAGGACGTGCAGACGAGGATGGCGATGAATAGCCATCGATGGTGATGAACAACCGTTGATGTGCCGAGATGTTGTCGTCTGGCGAAAATCGGTTAGCGAGCCGATGCATGTAAAGAGGCCAGCTTCACGAAATACCGCGCAGCTTATGTCGGCGGCGCAACTAGTTTACAACCGCCAGCTTTAAAGCAACCGCTCAGCCGCGGTACCGTATCTGAAAATAAGTAAACCGGATGCGTATATATGCGGTGCAATTATATTGTAGCGAGCCAACGTCCGTGAACAAAACAGCTTCACAAAATGCCGTACAGCCTACACGGACAACGTTGGACAAGCACTGCACACTTCAGTGCGCGTCAAATTGCGTGGTTCGGTGTACGTTAAATTGCGCGTTGAATTGCATGTTTAATTGCACGTCGAGTTGTGTGGTGGGTTGCGCGTTAAAATGCGCGAGTCGGCGCATGTCAAATTGCGCAGTGTGGTGCAGCCAATGTTTTGTGATTTGCGCGTTAAATCGCGGTGCGGTGCGGTGCGGTGCAGTGCGGTGCGGTGCGGTGCGCGGTCCCGAACAAAAAAACAAAAACAACTCATGCACCGGGATCGAGCCGGCGACCGCGGTTTCCATTCAGTGTCGGAGCTAGCGCACACCACAAGCGGTGAGCGCCGATACACCAGGGCGCATTGCGCGGCTACAGGTGTGGTGGGGTGCGGTGTGATGCACTGCCACACGCAGTGTGGCGCGGTGCGGTGCAACGCGGTGCAGTGCGGTGCGGCGCGGACACCGAAGCGGTGCACGGTGATGCTCGGGGGCGCATTGCGCGGGCCCAGGCGTGGAGCGGTGCAGTCCGGGACGACGCGGTGCGGTGCACGGTCCAGTCCAGAACGAAAAGAAAAGAACAATAAACGACGACGACGCGAAAAACGAACCACGCGACGATGAAGGCAGCGCTCCCGAACGAAAAATAGAAGAAAGCGGGCGCCCGGCGACGAAGCCAGCGAGCCGCAACGTTAAAAAGGACAAAACGACTCGCCGGCGCCGGGACGAACCGGGGACCGCGGCTCCCACTCGACGTCGGAGCTAGCGCGCCCGACGAAGCGGCGCACGGCCATGCTCCGGGGCGCGTTGCGCCGCCCCAGGTGTGGTGCGGATGCGGTGCAATCCACGTGCGACGCGGCGCGCCGAACGAAAAAACGAAAAAAAGCGGCGACGACGGGACGCGAACCGGCGACCGCGGCTCCCAAGCGGCGACGGAGCTAGCGAAAACGACGCAGCTCCGAAACCGCGAACGACACGGCGAAAAAGGCCAACTCTCCAGAGGCTCGACCAGACGGACGGACGGACAGACGGACGTTAAGCTGGGGTAAGGTCTCCGTCCCGACGACGGAACGACTAAACGTCGTCCGTCTAACGTCGGGACTACGACGACCGTACACGTACAAATCGTACAGGACGTGCGTACACACGCACCCCCGACGATTGGGCCAAATACGTATACACCACATCTACAGCCAACGCATGCCCGCCTCATTAGCTCTTTATTTTTCCCGGGCATGTGGCCAGGAAGTGTATATCTGTGTGACCATACATATCTGTGTGACCATACACATCTGTGTGACCATGCATATCTGTGTGACCATACATACCTGCTTGCCGATAGCGTGACGTGACGCGCAATCTGTGGTGGTGTAAGGGGACTTCAACAAGTATGAATGTAAATGCCTGGCTGATTATAATCACTCGCCTGGCTGATTCCTTGTGGCTTGTGGCTTTTGGGTGGTGGGTGCTATCCTTACGCAGCCTTGGCTTGAACGAAAGCACATGTACGAGAGGGATGCAGCACAATGATTCTGAT